CATTCTTTGACCCGAACCAGCACTCATATTGGACCTTAAACAAAAATCAGAAAAAAACAAAATATATTAATAAATAAAATAATAAATGAAACTAAATAATATAATATATAAAAAACTAAAAATAATATGTTTTCAAGAAAATTGCTTTCAAATATAATATATGTATTTTCAAAAATTATTTTCAAAACTATATAATATATATATATTCAAAAAAAATTTCAAAAACTATATATTATATATATGTTTTCAAAATGTTTTCAAAAACTATATATTATATATATGTTTTCAAAAATAATTTCAAAACTATATATTATATGTTTTCAAAAATGTTTTCAAAACTATATATTATATAAGTTTTCAAATATGTTTTCAAAACTATACATTATATATGTTTTCAAAACTATATATTATATAAGATTTCAAAAATGTTTTCAAAACTATATATTATATAAGTTTTCAAATATGTTTTCAAAACTATACATTATATATGTTTTCAAAAACTATATATTATATAAGTTTTCAAAATGTTTTCAAAAACTATATATTATATATGTTTTTAAAAATATTTTCAAAACTATATATTATATAAGTTTTCTAAAACTATATATATATGAGTTTTTAAAAACTATATATATATATATATATATATATATATATATATTTCAAAAACCGACTTTTTAAAAAAACTATATGTTTCAAAAAAACAAAAAATTCTTCCAAAAACTCCGGACGAAAATGAGTGTCTACACCTACGAATCACTGTTAACCCCTACGACCAGCGCGATTTGTCACAACATCGCCACCGTGCCGGATACCTCATTTCCAAGTGACCAAAACTTGATAAAACGATAACATAAGTGACCAAAACTTAATAAAACGATAACGTAAGTGATAAAAAGTGTACAAATATGAAAGAAAGTGACCAAAACTTAACCAACATATTATCTACGTGGAAATGGAGTAATTTTAATTTTATATATTTATCGTGCCACGTCAGCAAACCTTTAAAGGTTTCATGGCCGTTAACTTTCATCTTAATTAAAACGTAACGTAAGTGACCAAATCTTATGTTTTTGAATTCAGTGGGGAAAAATTTATAAAACTCAAACAAAAGTGACCATTATGTAGTTTACCCTATTTAATTTTATAATGCTTTTATTTTCAACAAATTTCAACAATTTAAATACTATATAAACATCAATGACATTAGTAACGCCGTCTTCCGATTCGAGTTCATGTGTAACTGGTGAATCTGATAAAATTTTGGTTTATGAATAAAGATCGCTATTGTAACGATAGTATTAAATAAAAAAATTGAAATGATTTTAACAATGAGTGATTTAGTTAGTCAAATTATAAAACATCACATGTTGAACAACGAACGAATTTAACGTTTCAAATGAATTTTGGTAGTTTCAATTTATTCATTTACAACTTATTGATCCTATGTTTATTAATAGTTGTGTTATTTATATACACTTTTTTTTATCAAAAACATATATTTAAAATGTTTTTATTTGCACGAATCAAGCAATTTCGAAGATAAAAAATTTATTGTTACTCATTGAAATTTCGAGTTCAAGTACTGATGATACTAAAGATATAAGTGCATTTAATCCGGATTAATGAAAAGAACGCGTTTATCTTAATGGACCTAATCCATAAACATATATTTAAACGATTTTTATCTACTTATCGACTCCAATCATGTTTTTTTCATACGTTTTACTTTCTGGCTTATATTGCAATTTGAGAGATTCATATGAAATGTTTCTTGTTCTGCCTGCCAATTCTATGTCTTCAAAATGTTAAACAGTATATTATTAAATTGTTAGAATTTTAAAAATCGAGTGACTTCAATACTAAATGTTAAACTGTTTAAAAAATTGCTTTTTACGTTTCCAAACACAGTTTTTAATATTGAAACCGATAGAAATTATATCATTTAAGTTGATTAAAATTGACAATTTAACCAACGGGGTTGGTTCAAGTGGTAAGCAGCTTGATATCACTTAAGTAAGGTCTCGGGTTCGATTTCTTGTGTATGCTGAAAATCTCCACTGAGAGACTCACCCACCAAAACTAAGTGTGAGACCTGGGTCGGTCCGGATTAGTCAGGGTAAAACCTTGGAACCATAAGGGCAATAAAAAAATTGGAACTGGAACCTCTAGAAATAACAATCATTCTTTTAACCACTAAAGTAATTTAGTTCGTACAAATTTGATAATATTATTAAGATAAATATTTTTGGACGTTGTAAATGAATATCTTTTGTGGTATCCTCAAAGTTAACATTTTTTAGTAACGATACATAATAGTCTTGCTAAAGACTAGTAGCTATTATATATATATATATAGATAGATAGATAGGAATGGCGACGGACCGGGTTTGCTCCTCTCGTCCTCGTCCCCGAAATGAATCCCCGTCCTGTTTCCCGTCGGGTTTTTTATCGGGGCGTCCCATCGGAGATTTTTTTTACCCCGTCCCCGAACCCAACCCGATCCTGAGAAAAACCGAACAACCGTAATTTTCATAAAAAATGGAAAAAACGATCACAAAAAACTGGAAAATTAGTCTACATGATTTACAATTCAAACTACAGTCACAAATTCAAACTCAATTCTAAATAATTGTCTAAACTCCAAAATAAAACACATACATAATTAAATACAAACTTGTTCTGATATTCAAATCATACAACGAAGATGTATACGTAATATTAAGTCAAAAGGGATAGCAAATACAAAGGGGAAAGTGGGAATTGGGAAACCTAGGTTAAATGTTTTGTTTGTATTATATATAATTAATATAAAAATTAAAAAATATTATATATATATAATCGGGGCAGGGCGGGGATACCTTTCCCCGAACCCAAACCCGAAAAAATCCCCGAATTTTACCCCGACACCCGATCCGACCCGAACTTAGCCGGGTTTCGGGTTTCCCCATCTGGTTCAGGTCGTTATGCCATTCCTATATATAGACGAAGGAGAAGATACTATATAGCTTAATAGTCGGTGGCGGATCTAAAAATATTTTTCAAGGTGGACACATATGTACTGATAGTAATTTTTTTGTATAAAGTAGACACCAATAAGATTGCAGGGTAAGCATATCAGTAAAATGAACATGTAGCATAAAGAAATTCGAATTTCAGGGTGCGCACGTACCCATCCTAAAATGTAGATACATCCGCCACTGTAAGAGTTTTGTTAAAACCTCCTTATAAATTAATATTTGAACCATCTTGGTTTCTTTTGAATTATTAACACATCAGATTCAAGCACTGCTGAAACTAACGCTGCAAATTTTAGCAGTGTCTGTAAACAAAAATGCCGCAACAGACTAGATCATTTAGCGGCGTTTGTAAATAAAATACCGCAATATGTTAGATCATTTAACGGCATTTTTACAAAAAATATCGTAATAGGTTAGGTCATTTAGCGACGTTTGTACATGAAACGCCGATGTATACTACGATATTTAACGGCGTTTTTGACATGAACACCACAAAAGGTTAGAACATATAGCAGCATTTTAGAGCCAAACATGCCGCAAATGTGTAGACCTTTAGTGGCATTTTTCATCCTTAAACGCCGCTAATCGAAACTAATTTACAAATTTTAATTGTACTATTTATTGCCCAAAATTAATATATCCTGTAACAATATCAGAGAACAACCATGATAGGACTCGAATTAAGTAATGTAGTTCAACTTTCAAGTGAAATGTAATATAATTTAACAACTAGAATAAACAGACTATGAACCTAAGAAACCACCTAAGAAATCAACTAGAATAAACAGAGCATGAACCTAATATAATTAAAAAACGCCACTATGGTGCGCGACGATAGTAGCGTTCAAACACAAATGCCTTTGTATATCAGTTTATTGTGGCGTTTTTTGCTTAAACTCCAAGAAATATATGGGCATATTGTGACGCTAATACATAAACGCCACCAATGTTTCAACTTTGCAGTGTTCAATTCATAAACGCTACGTTGTGTGTAAAATTAGACGTTTTATCTAAAAACACCGCGAAAACCCTCTTTTTCTGTAGTGTAAGGAAAATAATTTTTTTGGATGAAACATTGTCATAAATGACTGAATAATATTCTATTGAAAAAAAAATCATAACCGTTCAAAGTATTCATATTAATCTTACTAATTATCGTGTTAAAACTTTGAAAATATAAAGATGTGTAAACAAAATATGATTTTATAATTATGTTCAAATCAAAATTTTCATATTTGAAGTTCATCATGACTTTACTCTTGTTGAGTATGTGTGTAAATTTGTTTACGTGTCATATATGATATTAACAAAAATATTTAGTGTTTAAGAAATAATTTTTATCCTAAATAATTAGAAAATGCGCGTATCTGAAAATGTTGTGTACCGTATAAATTTATAATTTATATGTATGAGTATGATATGTTAAGGGTAAATTACCTCTTTGATAGATCATTTATTTTTATATTTATGTTTTGGTCATCAAACTATTATTTTTGTTTATAAAATCATAGCTAAAATTACATTTTATTTTTTATTTTGGTATCTCAACGATAGGTTTAACCGTTAATTTAACAAAAATAGTGATGTGATATGATATAATGATAGTTTAGTCCCGAAAACTTATTTAATTTGTCTTAATTTAAAATAACACAATAAATTTTAATAGAACTATAGAAGGAATAAAAATGTGAAAATTCTCCCTGCCTGAATTATATATTTTCGTAAGAGAGAAAAATGTGAAAATGCGCGCGTGGTGGTAGTGTTTTAAAAAGATTCTGTGGGACCTCTTCTCCCCTGATTTTTCCCCCTCTATGATTAGAGAGAATTGAAAACGAAAGTTTATTTTATTTCTTTTACATACGAACATGACAATTATACTTACAAAGTGGTCCTTACCAATTTCATTTTACATATATTTTTCGTTTTATTCCCCCTTAATATATTCTATACTATATCCTATTATCCTCCCGTACACCTTATCCTACACTCTTTCCTTTCTAATGCAACCAAGATATTCAACATAGGAGAATACTTCTTCAAGCTCGGAGTTCCGTGACCATTTCGGAAATTCCACGCCTATAGGGTAAATTTGAATATTTGTAGGGTAATTTAGAATGGCAGCAAGTGTTGTCTGGAGCAGGGAAGAAGACAAGGCATTCGAAAACGTGATTGCGATGCATTGGATGGAGGAGGAGGAATCCGAAGACCAGTGGGAGAAGATTTCTTCCATGGTTCCTAGTAAAAGTGTTGAGGAATTGAAGCAACACTATGAAATACTAGTGGAGGATGTTACTGCAATAGAGGCTGGTCATGTGCCACTTCCTTGTTATAAAGGAGAGGAACTTTCCTCCTCTACTAAAGATCATTTTCATGGAGTTTCTACCGCTGCTAATTCTGACAGGAGATCGGATTCCGGTTATGGAAACGGGTTTTCGGGGTTAGCGGTTGACTCGAGTGGACATGGAGGGGAAGGAAGTTCGAGGTCGGACCAAGAACGAAGGAAAGGAATTCCATGGACTGAAGAAGAGCATAGGTATTCCCCTCTACTACTTTCAGTGTGTTTATTTGTTGGTACTAATTCTGTGTTTGGTGCCCCTTGACCTCTTTTTGTTGTCACAAGCAAAATTACTTGTGTTTATACAGGTTGTTTCTACTTGGTTTAGACAAGTTTGGGAAAGGAGATTGGAAGAGCATTTCGAGGAAATTCGTGATATCGAGAACTCCGACACAGGTGGCTAGCCATGCCCAAAAGTACTTCATCCGTTTAAATTCGATGAACAGAGATCGACGGCGATCTAGCATCCACGACATCACGAGTGTCAACAATGGGGATACATCTCATCAATCACCCATCACTGGCCAACAGGGAAACGCAAACCTACCCGGCGGAGTAGCCCTGGGGCAATCGGTGAAGCACAGGGCTCAGCCGCATTTGCCTGGTTTAGGCATGTATGGAGCGCCGGTCGGATGTCCGATTGCTGCTCCGGGTCATATGGGATCTGCTGTAGGAACTCCGATTATGCTTCCTCCAGGTCACCATCCCCAATCCCCTTCTTACATTGTCCCTGTTGCTTATCCAATGGCTCCACCAACTATGCACCAATAAGTGTGAATTTCAATCATGAAGGGTAACATAACAAACTCTGTATTTTTTGAACATGAAGTATGCAGAAGGAATAAAGTAGATAGATCATATCAGAGAGCTCCTTTTCATTCTTCTTGTAGTAATCTATCGGCATATGGGCTTCACAATCGATGGTGAAGCATGAGAGTTTACTTTAACTATTGGAAACAGGGATTTAAATTGCGGCTGCTCTCACATTTTCAATTGCCGACACAACGGACACTATTAATATGACTGCGGGTATCGCCGTCATACAATAACTGTTTTGGACAGCACCAATATTGCTATATAACGAGTGTTGTTACGATAACGGAACACTATTTAAATCCTTCATAAAAAATACTGATTAGATTTTTGGGAACATTCCAATGAACACGAGGGAGTTTAATGGGAAGCGAGGGACATTAACATGGTTGTAGAGTCGATTAGACAACATCCTAAAATGCAACTCAAGACCAGATCACTTAACATGCTAGAACTTGTATCCATTAGCTGATGGGAGGAACGTTAATGCTAGAACTAATTACAATTTTATCATGGTTAAATTATAATTTTTCTCACTAAACTTTACTCTCACTCAAGTTTAATTATTTTTCAATTTAATCATTGAAATTTTTGGTCACCAACTTAGATTTTGGTCACGTTCTTCGCATCCGCCCACCACACCAATCACCATCGGCAACGAATGTTAGATTCTGATTTTTCTTTTAAATTACCTATTATGATCCCCAAAATCCGAATCCAACCTTCGATTCACTCAAATCTCAAAGAGAATTCAATCCATCGACCACTGCCTTTGTTTCCCACGATCATTTCATCTCATACATAAGTGAAAGCCAAATCCTAGAAAAGCACCACGTAAAATTTGAATCAAAACTACAAATACAATTCTTGAACTAAACCACCATAATGGTACAGATTAAAAGCATGTTGTTGTAATGTTTTTTTTTTTTTCAATTTGTAACTTCAATGAAAGAAAGGCTTACAGAAGTGGGCGCTTTGAGGTTTTGTTTCATTCACTTGGTTTCTCCCACACTCGAATTTTTGAATGAACGTCCGAGCGTTATCCGGAGTTAATTGAATAGATTAATTATCGTATAGAGGTTCCATTGGTTGAATTTAAGTTTAATTGGATGAGAAATTGACTTAATTAGAAACTAAAAGGGGATTATGAGCTTGAAATAAAATAAAAGGGACCTACAGCATAATTTGTCCATAGAGGAAAATCAGGTCTTATTTAGTAGGGTTTTTAACTGATTTGACGTTGGGTTTATGGGGGTATATTGTAGAGTACATTTCTTTTTCCGTGTCACCTTCTTCTTCTTCTCTCTTCGATTTTGCTAGACAATTAGTAAAGACTTTACCTTTTTCTATTTTCTTCCTCCAATCCGAAATTTGAAGGCAAAATCCATGGTCTTAGGACAATGAACTTCAAATTAAACTCACTATCTTCTTTAATGATGTTTTTGAGCTTACTTTGAGTTTTGGGAGGGTTTAAACTACAAGAACTTTAATGGCAAAACTTGTTGATAGAGTTTAGGGGGACCAATTTAAACTTAGAGGTTTAAATTAAAAATTTTAAATTTTTTGAAGGGTTTAGTTTACATTTTACCAAAAACTATGGTCTAACTAAATTTTTTGAAATTTTGATAGGCTTAATAAGATTTTTTAAAAATTATGAGAGGGATTTAATTAAGAACATTCAAAAAAATTTAAAGTCTAATATGAATTTCTAAAAATTTTGGAGTGGTTAAATTAAATATTTTGAAAATTTTAAGAATCTAAATGATGATATTTAATTTTTTTGGGCCATATCCCCCACTATCTTTTCTTTATTTCTGCCGCTGAAGAGCTTCCTTCAATGTTTGCATCAAATTTTCATATAAAAGAATTGTAGTTAAGCAACCATTGTGTTGATGTTTAAATGATTTTGGTGGATTTGAATTAGTGGAATATCTGTGTGAACCCCCTACCCCCAACAAGCAAGAGTAAGAGGGATTTGGCTCTAGGTTGAGATAGGGAAGATTTGAGTTGCTTGAAAGCTGAACTAACACGCTTTTAACTCTTCTTACTTGTAACTTATTAAATTTAGTTTTATTTTATTATATGAGGTGATGAAGCATGTTAGGTGACTTGGGATGCTTATTGATTCATGTGATAGATTAAGAAAAGCATGAAAATGGTATATTATGATCTTTAATTACTTTCACAAGCTTTAAAAATCACCTTAGGGCTTAAAAAATGTTTAGGATTAGTTTGGGGTGATTCTCGAATGAAATATAGTAGTTCTAATATTGAGAATCAATAATAGATGAATTAGTATCAATATTTTTCTTTGTAGGGTTAAAATTTAAGTTTTATAGAGGAAAGTAGCGATGCCTTGTTTATAGGGTATGAATATTGTTCGTTTGATATTAATATTGAGGGTTTGGTGTCAATGCCATAGTATTGTTAAGGTAATTTCAAGACTAAAATCAATACTTTCTTTGGGTATTGATACCTTATAGGTGAGTATCTATACTCAAGGTATGATATTGGTATCAAGGGATTTAATAGATCTCAAGTGTATTTTTGGTACCGATACTCAAGAAGAGTATCGATACCCATGAGTAGTTATTGATACTCATGTATAGATATAAATAATATCAATGAGAAATGGACAATGAGTTTTAAAATATCAAATATGACTCGAAAGTGAAGAGTCTATTAGTGCTTAAAATCAAATAGTAAGCTAAAAGTGAAAACTTGATAATGAGAATTTGATAATATTTGATTAATTAATAACCTTTAACATTATTGATAAGTGATTGATAACCATTGAAAAATTATGATGTGGTATTTCATAAAACTAATGCCTTTGTTTGATAATCATAAAATGATGAGGATACCCAAATTACTTGTGTACGAAAATAATTAGTGCTTCAGGTATGCTAGTCAGATATTGATCTAATGCTCTTGTGACCTAGAGTCATTTATATACTCTAGAGAAGTAGGCTAGTTAAGGTGTCCATTTCTAATACAAAGGTGACTCAGGTCTCACCCAATGTATTTGGTGCTATTGGATGTATGTTCTTGATGCGAGTGTTAATCAAGTCTCATCCAAAGTACAATGTAATACTATGTTAAAGGGGTGTGAGTCCAATAACTATGATGATCCCATACTACATCATGATATTTGCTTGTGTGTTTGTGGATGAGTTTCGTCAAGCTACATAACACCAGACCTCATCCTTGATGTTATATTGTTATGTGGATATGCTTGAGTTGATTATACTATTTCTTTGACTATACTTTAGAGCGCGTCTTTTGTTTATGTAATGAACATGTATATCATAGACCTTACATTATATTTAAGTCGAAACTCTATTTTATAAACTTATTATGATTATTCGATTTTGATATTATTCGGAGTTACACATTTTTTAAACTTCATTTATTTATCTATTTTGTTAATGAAATTACTTATATGTGATTTAATAAAAGTTTTAACAGAATTATTGGTCTTTTGGATGATTTTGTATGACACTGAAATCTTCTTGTGTCAGTGGAGTAGAATTTTATTAATAGAATTACTTATATTTAGTTTACCTTTTTATTAATTGCTTGTATGTTCCATTGTTAGCTGAGTTTAGAATAGGGGTGGACATTTGACCCGGTTCGACGGGTTCTAATCTGACTCGACTTTATAGAGTCGATTTTTTTAAAAAAAATTTGGGTTTGGTTCGGATCGGTTCGGGTTGCATATGAGAAAATATTGGGTTCGGGTTGGAATCGGGTTTAGACTAAAAAATATCCGACCCGGCTGGTATAATTATAAAACAATTTTCAATGTATTTACGAAAATGACATCGCATATATATAGAATATTTAGGGTTTTGTTTTCATTTCACTGCCTCGACCTTTTCTTCAGTTCTCGGTTCTTCCCCATTCTCTTCCTCTTCCTCTTCCTCTCCCTCTCCCTCTTTTTCTTTGTTTTTCTTTTGTTTTTCATTTTCTATCTTTCATTTTTAATTTCTTTCATTGTTCTTCGCTTCCTATGTATTTTTTAGAGTTCTATTTTGTTATTTTACCATCATCAACAACAATCATCAATCATTTCTCTCATCTCACAGCAACAATTTTTGTTGTTGAAATTTTATGAGAATTTTATAATTCGAAAGATGATTCAAGTATTGCATGTATTATTTATGGATTAGATTTCTTCTTCTAGTTATTATTTTGTTTTTTTTTTGAAATTATTCTTAAAAATTTCCAGATTTTTCATAGTTCAACATAGTTTTACGGTTTATTTTTATGTTTTCTTGTGTTTGGTTAGTAAGAAAACTGGAAAAAATTTTGAGAAAGGACGGGAATAGATGAGAAAATAAGGAAAATCTGGGATCAGGTCAGGTCGGAGTTTCCGTTCAAATTCCGGGTCGGATGGAACTCTTCAAAATCGGAGGCGGGTTGGGTGACGGGTGGAATATAGCACTTCTCAAGTCGGAGTTGGATAGGCCAAAAATCGACCCAGCCCGACCCATGCCTATCCCTAGTTTGGAAGCGTAGAAATTACATTGGGGTCGGCAGTTTTAGAATTTGCATGCAGATACAACCTGGGTCGTCCTCATTAAAACCTATTCCATTTCCTTCGTGTTATGAAGATGTAAAAGACTCTATTATGTCTAGAACGTATTAAATTATAAAATGTTTCATGATAGCCCTCACATTTAATGTTTTAGTAGAAGTTAAGGTGTCTTATATTTGAATAAACATATTTTGATTTTTTTTCATAAAATAAGGCAATGTAATCGTTTAAATCAAACTGAATATATCAGAATTAACCAACTCTTTCATCTTTAAAAAAATTTCAGAATGACTTTGTTACTGCCTTATGTACATATGGATTTATGTTTCTTTTCATGATTGTACTTTTCACTATCCCAGGTGTGAATTAATCGCTTTGATTCACTTTTGTCAAAATCTGAGGTAACAAGATGACTGATTATCAAGGACTGGAACCAACAAAGGTTTGGATATCAGTATATTTTATTCTCGAATTAGAATGTCATTGAACTGGAT